CACACAATGGCTTTCAATTCTGCGTGGGGTTTTTTATTATAGAAATTTTCAATATGAAAATTCCTGAGCTGTTGATTGCAGCACCATCAGCAGCGGGAAATGCTTTCATCCTGTCGGACAGGCAGTGTTTTTGGTGGAAAGACAGACAGGATCACGGGCATGAAATGCTTTTATGTAACCTTAGCTTAACAATTGTTGGGGGGGTTGGAGACATGCCCATTGCTCCTTTTATTCCCACCCATTTTTTTTTGAGTAAGTCTTCATTACTTAAAGCAGATCTTTACCCATATCTTTGAAATACCAACAAACACACCTTTAGAAATGTTTAGTAATGACAATCTACAAACACATACTTCTAGATAATTGCTGGCTTTGTATTCATGACAGTGGCAATGTTTACTAAGGGTAGATTACTAGTTCTCCATTTACTTCCTGCATTTCTGGCACATGTGACTAGACATGTGACTAAGACATGTGACCATGCACATCATCTCAGGGGAGGAAAATGCCTTTCCCTGAGATCTCATGAGATCTAAATTAGATTTCCCAGCAATGCTCTGCTGATGACAAAGCAATCCCAATGTGCATTGTTGTGGCAAACTGAAGTCTTTTTGCCCTTTCAAAGCAGGAAGTGAATGCTCTACAAGTGTAAGTAGTTCACAATCACAGAATGATACACCTGACATGTCTATGTTATTACTAATCATCATACATGGAGGGATGCATTGGTAGAATTTGATTGCGTGCAGCCACAGGGGTCCATTGACATGGAGTATGGCATTGTAAAACATGTCTTTTGGTGAAGGGGGCAGTATATCATGCCTAAATGCTGTTTTAAAGCAGGACTTCAGCGAAATGCTAAATATGATATCAAAACTCATTTTATCTATCTGTATAGAAAAATTATGTTGTCAGTCTTGTCAGTCTCATATCACCTTCCCTCCACCAAGCTGCTCATGAAGCAGAGAAAAAAATGTCACGCTACCACTGCAGCCCCTTTCTGCCTTCTCCCCTGCTGTAAGCTGCCTGAAAACTTTGCCCCCCAAAATAAATACTGACTGACAACACTGTGCAATGCTTCAAAGCCTGACTGGTCATGTATACATCCTACAATTTATTTTTCTGCTGTTATATCGGGTGGTGTCTGGTGTATGGGAAGTTAATATGATAGATTTCAGATCTTTACACTAGCATTGTTTAACATACACAATCATTTTTGGATAAATTTATAGCTTGAAAATAGGAAGGGATTTATATTTGCCTGGACGTCTGGTTAAAGGAATCAGGTTGAGCATCATCTTAAAGTCCAGCCAAACCTTCAGTTTAACTCAGCACAATACATTCCAGGTGCATCAACAATATGTTTAATGTCTTATAGTTTGTTTTCTTTCTAAAGCAGCCACAGCCAAAATCCTGTAGCCTGCCACCATGCTGTAGAGTGGGACCCTTGCTCTCTCTGTGGAGAAACTGTGGTCTCACTACAGAGGTCTGACATACCCCTGCTCTACAATCAGCAAAGTTCAAGCTCCCCGCTGATTGCAGGGCTCTGGCTCAGCAGGTGGCATGCCACACCTCTGCATCCACACAGAGAACACATTGCAGTGCGTACTTATAGACACTACCGTGCGCTCCGGCAGCCCCTTTTTCTGAATGGACTGCCTACCGCAGTCACATTGAAGAAGTGAGAGACTTTTTTTTTTTGTAAATTGTATTGCACTACAACGCATGGTTACAAGTTACCATGCACTTTGGTGCAATGACAAGGTGTGTTTAGTACCATTAGGAATTAATGGCACTGCAGTGCACCAAGCATTGTTGCACACGATTTTGCATCACATAGATTGCAACAGGTGCTTAGACATTTTTTGTTTTAATGCACCTGGAATGTATTTAGCTGATTTAAATTGAAAGTTCAATTGATCTTTAAACATGCTACTAACTTAACATATAGCTAACCTAAAGAGGAGCAAGTACAAGGAACCTTATTGCGGAAGTACTGGCTTTCAGGTGGTCAGAACTAGGATTCTGCTCAAGATACTACAATCAAAACAAGACCTTCAGTTTGAGATTTTTCAGATTTATGTTTTCATTGTGAAATAGTATACAGTAAATCTATTATATACATTATATCTTCATAAAAATATGTTTTACTTCTGTTTAGTGTACAATTCAATCATTTTAAATACATCAATAGATTAGAAAAATATTCTTAAAAATATTGAAATAAATACTATATTGATGAAATATTGAGAAAACATTGTCCTTAAATTCAACACAATTGTTCCGTAAAAAAAAAAATTCATCAAATGTTTGCATATACGCATTTTACAAAGTGCAACTGAAATGATAAATGTGTCTAATTTGAATTATTATTCTAGAGTTGACATTCCAGTTTACATTTACAATATAGATCACACTGTTTAAAGTAGAACTAAAGACATTGTCAGTGTAACACCATGACTGTAATAGATATTACCTGAGGATTAGACTTCAAACTATCAAAAATATCTGTATTGCTGCTACAAATTCATTAGAAACAAATGTCACATAATACCAAAGAAGGCACTTTGTCTTTTGAAAGACACAAATAGCTGTTGTGAATAACATATTAAAAGATGTCTCCTAATATATTTAGAATCAACATCAGACACAGAGGGGTTGATTTACTAACCTTATAAACACACCACGAACATGTATACACCTCTGTAGTGTGTTCCCTCCCAGCATGATCTATGGGTGGAATCTAAACACCTTTGTAGTGTGTACACACCCAGCAGGTGTGTTGTGCAAAGCCCTGCATGAATTTGCAAGGTGATGTTGTGTAAATTAGCTCTATGTTGTGTTGCTTGCGTTGATGAATGCAAGGAATGTAAATGCATGAGCTAACCATTTTTGTCTAAACTGTGAAGCAGCATTATATATGCATCATGTGCATGATTTTTCCATATATGGCATTAGTGGAAATATGCTTTTAGAGACTTTTTGGTTGATAAATACGTTTTGCTGTGTAAAAATCACACGCACCTAGTGCGTGCGTGTGTTTAGGTTAGTAAATCACCCCCAGAGTGTGCATATAAAATGGTCTAATGATTTCTCTATGAGTGATTCTATAAGCTGTGTTCTAGAAGTTTTACACACAAAATCACTGTATCAACTGTTAGTTCCCTTTACATGATATAAATTTAAGCAGTAACAAGCTATAACACAGCCTTCATTAATACAAGTGCTAGTTTTTAAGTGCTACCAAGCAGAACTTCCTTAAGGCATATCAGTAGATGATTGTTGGTAGCTATGAGTTATAAACCAGGAGGAATCAAGTCAAGGTGATGCCATTTTTATTTTCTTTTGCACTGGCTTGAGAGTAGAAGAACTTGTCCATCAGCCAGTGCTCACTAGTGTCCTTGGCGCTTACAGAAACATGGCTGTGGCTGGCAGGATGTGTGTGGCAACATCATCAGCAGAATAGCACATTACATTAACACCGGAAGGTTTTTCAAACCAAAGTGGAAGATTAGACAGGATTTGCATGGCATATTCTAGACACATAGGCATCAAATGCTGTCAAGTGGCAAAGTTTAGGTAAGCTGATTAGACTGTTCTATGGTATGCTGCTAGTCAGTGGTGTATCCAGGGTATGGAACATATGGCACATGCCTTGGGCACGAACTTTCACAGACCCATGGAGAATGCTTACTTTTTTCCCCACCTCTCTACCATACACATCTCCCGACACAAATCTTAGCAACCAGAGTGAGGGGGAGATGCATATTCTGGTGAGACGCTAGCCATAGCATCCCAGGTTGCTAAGAGTCATGCTGGGAAATGTGTACGGCCTGTACACATCTCCCTGCCCAGCTCTTAGCAACCTGGGACACTTTGGCCGATGCCCTGCCCAGCTCCTGGCAACCAGTGATGTCATTGATTGCCAGGAGCTGGGCAGAACGCCAGGGGTGCAATTTGTTGTAGATATGCCTCTGCTGCTAGCTCAACTATCTTGCTCTGAGATCAGGTAGACTTTAAGAATTAGCATATTTACTTGCTTCTGCTTGGAAAGACCTGTTAGTTATGATAGTTTACAATAAGGGAACTGACAAACAGTACCAAGTCTATTGATAATGAAGTCTATGGCAGTGATTCTTATGGTCATGATATACAAATCAATGCCGAAGATTTGGTCATTTCAATTTTATTCCTGACCATAACAGTCCTTTATTCAACTATTTATAAACCTTCGTATAAACATAATAGTAAACTAATCTAGCTTCGAGTTGACCCTACCTAGTTAATAAAATGAATACTGTCATGTTATGTATATGGAATTTAAAAAATTAGTATTCCTGATCTATATATAGAACGATAATTGTGCCATGATGCTACTAATTATTGCTATGTTTGCTGCTGACCTTTGTTAATGTGCGCAACGTTTCGTAACTGAGTAAATGTGAGAGTTTTATGTACAGTGCAATATGCCATTTTTGAAACTACTTATTAAAAAGAAAATGATTTGTTAAAATGGCATTTAAATAGTATAAAAGACAATAGGCTCAATCCACAAAGTTTTATCACAAGGCTAAGGATCCTTAGATTAACCATGTAATTTTCAATTCAGTTGAAAAAACTGTCACTTTTTTTGTTTTTAAATATAAGGGTATTATACTGGTGTGTTAGCTTTGTCAATCAAGCCTGTTGTATTTTTAGAATTTAATTTAACTCTAGTTGGCAAATAGGAAGTTTTGTTTACTGCAGTGTCCTAAACTATTTTGCCTGGACACTGGACATACTGGGAGTATTGCAAACAATGCGGTCATGTACAATAGGTCTACTATACAACGTAAGGCAGTAATAGAAAGCCCAATATCCTACATTATAACTGAAAATCGCCATTCTTACTACAATGACTATACTTTGGAAGCACTGCAGGAAATAGATAGTTTATGTTATGAATATTATTACTATTATTGCATTACTTTTCCCCTGGTCACAGTAGCTTCTGATTGGCACATGGATTCATATGAGGGGGAAAAAAAGAAAAAGAAAAGAAAAAACTTTAAATGGGTCCACAGGGATGTTGGTTGGCGATCAGAGTTTTGTCTCTTGGACTTCCTCCTCTGTCTCCTCCTGCAAGGCAGTGATTTTAGGGCGGGACTTCCTCTTGCTGGAGTTTCTACGGTGCAGTGGAAATAGTTTCAAGCGGTCAGAATGACTTATGGCTTGCTTGAAGAAACTCTTTTCATTCATCAGTTTCTGAATGGAGTCATATTGTCGAACAGTATTCTCTTCAATTACCTAAACAGAGAAACAAAAATGTCAAATAACTAAATCACATACACAGTGACAAATGCAGGTGCAGCATGAAGAACAAAACGTATGATGCAGTAAAAGGGAAACTTTAGTTTTGAATAAGGTAGGAAAGGGTAAAATCCCCTGTAAGTTTTTTTGTATTGATGTCTGTGTCTCTATTAGAAGGATTTGTCCTGTGTGGTCACCAGGACAAGAAGTGAGGGCAGACACAGACATTCATGAAACACGTTTTAGGCTTACATTCATTAAGGCAGATGTTCATGCAAGAACAAAACCTTTTGCATTCAAACTTTTTTTTTTAATCATATATCAACCTCTTGAAAAAAAATGTTTTTACATGGAAGACACTTATATCACATTTTAAGTAAGCATCATGTTTGAATTGATTAGTAAAAGTGTCATTTACGGTGTTCATAGTACTGTATTTTTTCAGGATCAGCACTGAACAACTGAATTTTGCTCCCCACCTCCAATACACACATAATACCTATACCATCCTGCTTAACCCTTGGCATTCAGGGGACACTTTAAGAGCTGCTGGTCTGGACCCCTTGGAACCGAGGTGGAGGTTGGAAGGAGATACGAGGTCCTGAGGGAGTGGTGTCCCAAGTTGCTCATCGAATGATTTGATGGGGACATGAGGATGGGTTGGTTGAGAATGAATGTATACACAATATGACAACTGTAAACTATGCATTAATGTGAAGAACCATTTTAAAATTGAAAATATCCATCCCCCATGCAGATGTGCAGCAGCAGATCACTTCTAATAGTGGCTGCCTTCAGTAAGCTGCAGATCACTATAGCAGTCATCTGGTGCTGCAGGGAGTCACTGGGCAGAGCTGTAACAGCTCTGTTCCAGCCTCGCTACCCAGGAGAAGTGCCGTTACATAATTTTCAATGTCACTACACTCCTGATGTAAACTGAATGTGCAAGCCATTTAAATAGCTACTGCAGAATTTGGTCTTGTGGAGGGTTTGTAGACTGCTAATCTGTTTTTTTTAAATACATATTTTAGGCAGTAGTATCATTCCTACACATCCAACTGCCATCTACTGACTATGGCTCACTTTCCTGCCTGGTACCTTTTGAAGGCACATGCCTGGGATACCATCATTCTCTTTCTTTCCCTACTTGGTAAATCACTGACCCAGAACAAGCAGTATACCTGGTGTCAGGGCACCTAACAGTCCAAATGTCCAAAGTAAAATTAAACCCTCCTGACTGAACAAAAGTGCCAGAAAAATATGTTCTATCCAACATTTGCCAGGAAATGGCTAGACACCAAGATATTAGAGCATGCTGGGAAAGGAAAAATCTGCCTTTTGCTTTCTGACACAACTTACCAGAAAAAACTGACATTCTAACATGGCTTCCAGCCTATGCTCAGATAGGATAACGCTACAGTTTGCAAATGAATGTTTCAGAGTTTTCCTAATGATCTGGAATGTTCTGAAATGAAAACAAATCGTAAATAAAATAGCATTTACGTGATCTAAAAAGTGGGTACAGGCATTGTATTTGGAAACATACATGGGATCCAGGTGAGCACTGGGTTCATCCAACAGGAGAATTTTCGCTTTGCTAAGAACTGATCTGGCCAGACATACGAGCTGCTTGTGGCCGTGACTAAGAACACATCCACCATCGAGAAGGACAAAATCCAACTGGCCTGGAAACTGCTCAATGATTGACTTTAAACCAACCTGGGGAGATTGCAAAACACATTCATATCAAATATACATCTTTCTTTGCTAAATACTGTACATCTAGATTGGTATATAGAACACAAAATAAGAGCCATATCTTTACTAGTAAAGTCACCTTTTTTATTCAATCTTTTTACATTTAAAGGGCAGAAATATTGTGTATAGAGCATTGTGTGGAAACACTTGAGCAAAACGAAATCAGAGGTTTTACCAATCTCATTTTAGCTGTCATATTTCCAGTGCATGTTATAAGTTCAAGGTAAGCATTCATTTAGTTGGCATGATAGGGACTATCTTAGTCTATCTTATATACAGGGCTCGAAAATCCACTCGTCTGCTCGTCTGTGACGAGCAGACAGTGGAGCCCGACGAAATTTATATACATGTGGCTGGAGACCTGCAATGCAATGTAAAGGCAAACCATTGACAATGCATATTGTAGCTCATTGATAAGTACCTAATAATATTTATACAACTTCACCTTATGTCATTCTCATAAGGAGATAGATTAAGACAGAGGGCCATAGGCAGAACAGCAACACTGGACCCTCCAAATATAGCCCCACATGTGAAGGCTCATCTACCTTCTGGAATGCTCCCTTGTTCTCTCTATTAATTGTATCCTGTTAAATTATTATCTCTTCCACCTTCTGTATAACACCCTTCAACTGTTATATAGAGCATAGGATCTCCATATTCTGAATTTCTCCTTTAAAACCAAACCGTAAGCTCAACTAGGCAAACCTGAGAGTGACCCTGCAGAAGGGGTCTCAGGTGGGCTGGTCAGGGCTGCATGCCTCCCCTCCCTCCTTTCCTTCCTTCCTTCCTTCCTAGCTCCTCTTACCTGCACACATGGCCTCCTCTGCTCCCGAACCAGCCAGAAGTGACATCATGACACTAACGTGACGCCACTTCCGGCCAGTCCGACATCAGACGAGCATCGTCGCTGATGGGGCCCTAGCTTGTCTCAAAGCCGCTGGAGCAGCAATGCTGGGGCCCTGCGCTGCTAGGGCCAGGCCTCCGCGTCCTCGCCCTTCACCGTCGTCCGATAGTCATGTAAGGGACCCCGGACGGGACCCCAATGCTGCCTGGGCCCCTTACATGAGTATCGGCCGTACCCCCCTGATGGCTGCCCTGAGCTCAACTATCTCCTATTTTCATCCCATATACGCCAACAGCGTGCACACTCTTTCACATGCTGTATTGCTCTCTTCTACCGTTTGCATTAAAATTGTGGTTTGCAAGAGCTGCACTGTTTATTCAATGTATTCATATGGTGCTGCAGTATTTGCTCTTCTTTGTAAATGTATTTATATGTACAAAAATACATAGATTATTGGTGGTGCCTACATCTAAGGTAGATCACTGGGAAGGGATTTGTCATACCGTGCCTCTTACACACTTATAACATTACTTTTATACTGGAGGACGAATTCAACAAGGGGCATAAATAGTTCGCCCCTCTACCCCAGCTAAGCTATAATCATTATTATTTCCTATAACACGGCGCGACCAGGCCGTGGAGTTCCACCACTCGGAGGGGGCCTAGAACAGGAGAAAGGGGCCCCTGGTAACCGCTGATTACAAGGATATTTATTATCCCGGTAACCGCTAATGTCAGTCCCGGGACCTCTTCCTCCTGTCCTGGGCCCTACATGCTTCACGCTGCTCCGCTCACTTTGTTCCGGGCGCAGCGTGAAGCATCATCCAGCCGATGCAGCAGCCAATGAGTGGGAGCAGTGTTATCCCCGCCCCCTCATCACGCAGAACTGCTGCCGAATAGAGAGCTGCTGTGGACACGAAGGGGGAGACAGAGAGCTGGAACTATGAAGGTGACATGGGGTCCGGGAGCGGAAAGAAAGCTGGGGACGTGAAGGGAGAGATAATGGGAGCTGGGGTCATGAAGGGGGGAGACTATGGGAGCTGGGGACATGAAGGGGGATATAATGGGGAGCTGGGGACATGAAAGAGGAGAGTGTTTTTTTTTTTCCTTGTCTTAATTTTGTTTTTTTTTAAATCGAATTTGTTTCTTCTGGGGGGGGCTTCATGGATTCTTGCATCGGGGCCCTAAGGTCACTGGCTACGCCTCTGTATGTGTGCATGTAAGATAGGGACCTTAGATTGTAAGTTTCTTGAGGGCAGGAACTGATGTGAATGTGCAACTATGTAAAGTGCTGCGTAAATTGTCAGGGATATACAAATACCTGAAATAAATAAATTACGTTAGTGTTAGTGTAAATGCCCTATTGCATTGGTAGTCAGTGTAAGTGCCCCCTTACACTGGTGTTTCATGGGAGAATAGGGGCGATTTTGGTGATCAGTGGGTAACGAGGCCTCTTACATTGGTGGTCAGTCAGAGAAGGTCCCACTTAAATTGTTGGTCGGTATAGTGCTTCCTTACATTGGTAGTCATTGGGAGAAGGGCCACCTTGCACAGGTGGGTAGGAAAAGAAGGCTGCTGCTGCTACATTGGTGTTTAGGGGTTACTTACCTCAACCAGAAGAGATGCTGATGCCACTGACAGCTCTTCATGACACTGGTGCCAGAACTATGTAGGCACTATCAGGGATAGATCAATTGGCCGTATTCTCATGTCACTAATTAATCATTATGCTTATAGGATTTTTCTTTTTACCTTCTTTTTAATAAAATGTTTTTGAGCGGAACACAACCTTGTTTAAGCACAAGGTGGCAGCAGTGCACGAAAAATCATTTTACTCTGCCCTGACAGGATGCAATTAGTACATAGTTATACATAGTGGGGGGAATTTATCAAAACTGGAACAGACAAAATCTGGAGCAGCTGTGCATGGCAACCAATCACCTCCCCCCTTCAATTTGTTCAGTTAAGATTTGAAAATGAAAGAGAGAAGCTGATTGGTTGGCATGCACAGCTGCTCCAGATTTTGTCTGCTCCAGTTTTGATAAATCCCCTTCACTGTATATGTGCATAGTTATACTCCTTTGCACATGGAATAAAGATACATAGAACATAGAACAGTGAAGGCAAAAAAAGTGGTTTCCTTTTTATATATTTTGTAACTTTTTCGTCTGAGTATAGATTTATGTTTGTCCTAAGCATGTTTAAATTCACTTACTTTTGACTGACTCACTACCTTTGCTAAAAGTCTTTTCCAAGTATCTGATTTTCCAGTGAAATAATACTTTTGGTATTATTGTGTTAGTGTTAGTTTTGAATATTCTTTAACCTCCCTGGCAGTCTGATTATTTAATTTTTCCTTTTTTTGTTCTATTTTTTTCTTTCGTTATTTTTACTTTTAAAATTCCTGCCGGTTCCGCCCCCTTGCGACGCGGATGTTTGCAAGGGACAGAACCCATATGCCAGCATCGCCTGGAGGACACAGCGCGGCTCGTGGGACAGGGTAAGTAACGCTACGCTGTAATCCCGAGTGTGGCTCGGGGTTACCGCTTATGGTACTGAAAATTAACCCCGAGCCACAACCGGGATTACCGCCAAGGAGGTTAAAGGAGAATTATGGAGAGAGCGAAATACAATTATCCCCATGATTAGAGCCGACATGTGACACTGAAGCTGTCACACATCGGCTCTATTGATCAAAAACTGAGCGCTTCTTTTCACATACCGCTTCTTTTCCCAGTCACAGGTGGCTCTGCCTCTATATGTCAATCAGTTTGTGGGGTGGGTCCCAACAATATTGCCATGATCTATCCCGGCCGCACCACGGCTCTGCACTGTCAGCATATAGTGGGCAAATAGTAAATGTCCTCCCACTACCCTAAAGAGAACTCCAGCCAAAAAAGTGTTAGGGTTGTAGGGAGAGTTAGTGTGAGGGTTAGTGTTAGGGTCATAGGGAGAGTTAGTGTAAGCGTTAGTTTTAGGGTTACAGGGAGAATTGATGTGAAAGCTTGTATAATGGTTTTCCAACGCAGACTTGCACTGTGGCCGTAAGTCATCGGTTGCAGAGGAAATGGAAGCACACGTTCAGCAAACATGCTTTGTTATTTGTCTGTTACTTTATTTGGATGCTGACAATAAAGCTCCTTGTCCCCAATGCTAATTTTGCAATCCGCAAATGGAGATTTGTCGAACAGAGCTCTCCTGCATGTTTCAGACTTACCTCATCAGTGACTTTCCATATTTCTTCATCGCTGTATTTTCCATAAGGGTCCAGATTTTTTCTGATTGACCCTGAGAATATGAACACTTTCTGTGTAGACACAAACAAAAACACAATGAATTTTCAGCAATGCTTTTTACAAAACACTATCAAACATATGAAAATGTATAAAGGAGTGTGGGTAGAACAAAAGACTTTACTTCCTTATGCAGCTCCTGTAAGTTTGAGCCAACATTTCTTACAGTAAACCGGACCTGTTTCCTCCTCGGCTTGAAAGAAAGTAATTGTTAAGTGCCCAGGTATAAATGGCATCCATTTATAAATTAATGGTGTGTCTTGCATAACTCCTTTGTTAAATAAGAGCCATTCAGATTAATATTTATCATAATAGAGATATGCAGCTTTCAGGCATTCACAGAAGAGCAACTTCACATGATCTCAGACTTAGCTGAATTACTATTTTACTAGCGTAAACACATTTTAGTATGGAGAATAAACTATGATGTACATTAATTCACTCTCTGGTTCTTTATCGGAGTTACCCTATCTATACCATATATTAACTAGGATTAAATGTTAATCCACCTGAAAGTCATATTCTAGTTTGCAGTGAAAAGCAAGAGATACATTCATTCAACCTCTGGTGAACTTTACAGGGGATGTCTACTCCCAGAGATCTTGGTTCCACCCCAGATATAGATTTATCTCACTAACTTTCATTTTAAAAATGTAGGCATCTACCTCCTGTCTAGGGCTGTCCCTACACTATTTGCCGCCTGAGAGGCTAATCAGGAAGCCTGGAGCCGAGTCATTACTCGCCGCCTAGCACCCTCATTGGCACAGAAGCCAGCTCGATGCTGATTGGCTGGGAAGCAGGCTTTCATTACCATAATCAGCATGTCATTAACCGCCACCCGGCTTCCTGATTGCCCGGTAAGCCGGCTCCATGCCAGCGGAAGCACCAGTATCTGTATCGGCAAGTACCGAAAGCAAAATAGCGGTACTCAATACCGAAAAACTGGCATTGGTGCATCCCTAGTATATATCAATGAATATACATACTGTATTATATATATATATATCTATAGATATATAGATATATATAGACATATATATCTATAGATATATACATACAAAGAAGGTATAGAGGAACTGATGGGTCTTGCTAAAGATGTGTCTTGATAAAGATGGACTTCGCTCCGTTGAAACATTGACAATAAAATACAGTGTGTATATACACTGAGTGGCTAGATTATTATGACCACCCCATCAGTACTGCGTTGGGCCACAAGATGACTCCACGAGATGACTTCGTTGGGCCGCCTCGTGACTCCACGAGATGTTGAAAGGTGATGCAAGGAATTTGACACTGCTTTGTTCCCCTTCTGTTGTCTTGTACCAATCTTGCCACTCTCCGTTCTGCCCTAACATTGACTAGTTGCTGACGGCCACAATTTGCATGTTGAGACCCAGATTTTCGGCTGACAGTCTAGTCTTTAAGCACTTGAACAACAGCTGCTCTTGAACATTTAACGAATTCTGCTGTTTTGCTGATACTCGTTCCATGGCCCGCGCTAACAATCATCCCACGTTCAAAGGCTGTTAAATCGCGTTGTTTACCCATATCTTCAGAAAAAAATAACTTCTGCTGTCGTGGTAAACAACCTGCTTTCCTATTTATATGGTCTGGCCCTCTAGCAACTTCAGCGCGAAAATTATAGCTAATTATAGCTAATTTGCCTACAAACGTCAGGTGGTCATAATAAACTGGCCACTCAGTGTTTGTATATATCAAAGAAAATGTAAAGACAGTGACATATAGCAAGATCAAAGGCTTTAAGTAGATTTGTTTCTCACAGAGGTGAGCTTTAATGTACGTTTACCAAACCCATTTTCAAATAAGTAAACAAAGTATCAATGTATAGACATTATAGTATGATTAAGGTATAGCAAATAAGAATACATTGAGAGACAGAGAAGTAAGTAGTACCGTGAGACATATCAATATACTGTGTCAATATGTCAATATGCTATCAATATGCTGAGTTCAACTCGAACATCAGCAGTTCGGGTGTTCGTCGCAGCCATGGGACAGCACTCGTTTGTTTTTTTTAATTATTTCTATTTATTTTTTATTGTTTTTTTTTTATTATTTCGTCAAGTCGTCATCGTTGTGATTGACCCTAGATTACATCGGTGGATCAATTTTTTAAAAATAAAAGACTTGTCAAAAACATGTCTTTAGTTTTTTTTTCCAAATAAAGGATTTTTTCAAAAGTCTGGACTTTTTATTTGCAATTTTATTTAACCCTTTAGTGGATGGGTAGGGGTACAAGTACCCCTTACTCATTCACAAGGGGGGGAAGCGGCATCTGGGTGCCCCTTTATTAAAGGGGTGCCCTTATGTGAATAAGCCCCCTGCCCGCACCCCTACAACCAACGCCCCAGGGCTTGTGGGGAAGAGGCCCTTGTCCCCATCAGCATGGGGACAAGGTGCTTTTCCAGAGGCGACCCTGGAAAAGCACACCCTCCCAGTGCCGAGGGCATGTGGCCTGGTGTGGGAGGGAGTGGGGGCACTTGCCAGGCCTATGCTCAGATCAAAGGTCTGGTATGGAATTTTAGGGGCGACCCCACGTTTTCCCCCCCATTTTTGGGGGTGGGGGTTCCTCCTTAAAATTCCTACCAGATAACAGGGGCCTGGTATGACTTTAAGGGTGAAGCCCACACACTTTTTTTTTTTTTTACATGGTGTCCATCCTCAATATTCCTACCAGACCTTAAGGGTCTGGTATGACTTTTAAGGGGAAGCCCAAACTTTTTTTAAAAAAAATTGGTCCCTTCTAACATTTCTACCAGACCTAAAGGGTCTGGTATTGTTTGGGAGGGGGAACTGCACTTTTTTTTTAAAAAAAGTCATTTTTTTCGCTTTAGAGATGTCAGTTTTGCTGCAGCAGGTTCTATACATCGTACAGATGCGCCACTTTACAGGCAGTTTAACCTCCTCCCGTCCATGGCCGTTCCTAAATGACCGGACGGGAGCCTTATAGGAGCGGGAGGGCGTCTTAAAACGTCCTGCCCCTCCCCACACTCGTGTGCGGCGCCCAGCGTGCATATGAGTGGGGAAACTGTTAGAAATGTAAACAGCCAGTAATGGCTCTTTACATTTAAGCGATCGGGCGCCCGATCGCTTGTAGTAGCTGCGGATGTGCCCCCCCTCCCCGCCGCTGCCGGTCCCGAGATCCGATGTGCCTGGTGCGGCAGGGGATTTCTTAGCCCCCTATGTGATAGCAATATAGTTAATTTAAAATAAAAAAAGTTCAAAAAAATGACAGCATAAAAAAAATAAAGAAGCATAAAAAAATGGTCACAAATAAAAAAAAATTTAAATAACACAAAACATCTTTTTAAAGTCCTCCTTTAACCAGTTGACATCCGCGGTGTTAAACCCCCTTCCCATCCAGGCCATTTTTCAGTATTCAGCGCTGCGGTACTTTAACTGACATTTATTCCGTCATGCAGCGCTGTACTGAAATGAATTTTATACCCTTTTTTGGGGACAGATAGAGCTTTCTTTTGGTGGTATTTATTCACCACTGGGGGTTTTATTTTTTTACTATATTAAGGAAAAATTACCGAAATTAAAAAAAAAAAAACAGTTTCCCCTATATTAAATGATAAAACATTTATTATTACCCAATTTTTTGGTAAAATATAAAAGATGGGGTCACGTCGGGTAAAAAGACACTAAACATGTCAAGCCTTAAAATTGCGTGCGCGCGCGAAACCTCAAAAAACGATAATACCCAAAATTGGCCCTAGGCGACGCTTTAAAAGCTGTTACCGCTCATCAGTTTAGTGTTATCAGTGATTGATGGCCCTAAAATGATTGCTCTCACTGCGACGTTCGCGGCGATATGTAACATGTGTAGCGCAATTGTAATTTTTGCGCGCTGGGGCACCGGACGCGTATTTACGTTTATAGGCGCGTAAACGTGGGGGTGGGGGAGTTAAACATTTTGGGGGGTTTTTTTCCCCTTTTTTTATATGTGACTTTTATTTTATTTTACTTTTTTATATGTTACTTTTATTTTTTTTATTTATATTTATTTTTTTGCACTTATTGTTATTGCTATTATATAGGGGGATAACAATCCCCCTATATAATAGCAAAGGCACACTGACAGGTCCTCTTTATGGAGACATTAGGGGTCTCTAGGGGGGTGTGTGTGGACGCGAACGAGCACATATAGACGATCGGCTGGCTATGGAGCCGCTGATCGCCTATATGTGAAACACCCGGTAACGGGTATGTGCAATGGTCGAATCTTTTCTGCCCGTGAGTGCCCGCTAGGGGGCAACCCGCCAATGCAGCAGTGCCGTCTGTCCGTTTTTTTACTACGGGCGGAAGGCAAGAGGTTAAAAACAGTATTTTTTTCAAGTTTTTTTTCTTCATAGATTCCTGTCCCCCAGGGCAGTACCCGGATCCCCATACACCTTTTATGGCCAATAACTTGCATATAAGCCCTCTTAAAGGAGACAATTGTTTTTGAAAGTTCTACCCCCATAGACTTGCATTGAGTTCGAATTCAAACATTTTGGATGTTCTAAAGTTCAAATTCAAACCAAATCAAGCCCATCACTAAACATCACACATAATCCAAAATTAGGCAAACTCTGTGTAGTAAGTGCCTCCACCTTAACACTCCTCAACCCCACCAGACCTCCAGAGATCTCAGGATAGCTAGATGATTCAGGGCAACCTAAACAAGCAAGCAATGATATGCATCGTTACATTCACACTATAGAACTTGATGTCCCCCTAATGTACCTGCCAATTTTTCTGTGTTATACCAAGTGGTGTATTGCAACATTTTCATAATTTCCTGCAATTGTGGGAGAGTAAGTTCCAATAATAAATATCTTGACCAAGTTTTAGAAAAGCATGCAGTTTGATGTTGAGGGTGCGTAGAAGCATATCATTTATCTAAAAGTATTAATTTGTGTAAAATAGGTTTCAGGTCGTCAATCCCTTGTTGCAGGAAAGACAACCATCTGTCGTTTGCAAGGTTGCAATTTTATATGCATATTGG